ACAACTTGCTGCCCCTTGCCCCATCACCCCTCTCCTGCTAACGAAGAGGAGCAATGCTTGCTGGGCCATTTTAAGTTTTGGAGACAGCAAATACGTTATGCTTGCATTCAACTCTGATCTCTCAATTTAATCCATCTAATCCATGTAATCAATCTACCTACCTACCTACCTATCTACCTACCTACCTACCTACCTACCTACCTACCTACCTACCTAGAGACAAGGTCTCGCTCTGTCACACAGGCTGCAGTGCAGTGGTGCAATCACAGCTCACTGCAGCCTCAAACTCCTAGGCTCAAGCAATACTCCCACCTCAGCCTCCCAAGTAGCTGGAACTATGGATGCACACCACCACGCCCAGCTAATTTTTTGAAGAGGCAGGCTTTTGCCATGTTGCCCAGGCTGGTCTTGAGCTCCTGGACTCAAAGTGACCTGCCTGCCTCATCTCCCAAAGTGCTAGGATTAAAGGCATGAGCCACTGTGCCCAGCCTCTGACCAATTTATTGAGTGATCTGAAAAGAGAAGGTACTCCTGCTGATCCAGGCCACAGAGAAATAAGCTCTGGTAGACCGTATGGAGTTCTAAAGTGTTTGTAGTAAGGTAAACAGAAGAATCGTAATGAAAAACCCTAAAATACGGAAATAAGACCATGATCCTATTGGCAAGACCATGCTCCTAGCCTAGTACTGGGCTCTAAGGTAGAAACTGTAAGCCTGATCACAGATACAGGTATCCAAATGACTTGAACTCCCCATCATAAACTAGGTTTTTTTTTTTTTTGAGGCAGAGTTTTGCTCTTGGTACTCAGGCTAGAGTGCAATGGCGTGGTCTCAGCTCACTGCAACATCTGTCTCCTGGGTTCAAGTGATTCTCCTGCCCCAACCTCCCAAGTAGCTGCGATTACAGGCGTTTGCCACCACGCCTGGCTAATTTTTGTATTTTTAGTAGAGACAGGGGTTTCACCATGTTGGCCAGGCTGGTCTTGAACTTCTGACCTCAGCCTCCCAAAGTGCAGGGATTACAGGCGTGAGCCACCGGGCCGGTCTCATAAACTAGGTATTATGTGATCCAATCAGCCATAGATTTGAACATGCCCAGCAGAATCCCATTATCAGCTGAAAGTGATTGCTATAAAATGCCTACCACACAAACCACTGCTGCAATAGATACTACTGATTTCCTATTGACATCAACAGTTAACTGAAGAAGAAAAAGTCTGGCCTGGTATATAAATTGCTTGGTGAGACATGCTGGCCCATGCTGGAAGTAGACTGCTATGGGGTATATTACTTAAGTGATGGCTTTCAATGTGTATAAAAACGAAATCCTCCTAATGAAGTGAACTTCAAGCAAATTATCACACTACTTATCTCACTGGAGGTCAGGATCTAAACCAATCGCTGGGTAGTAAATAACTAGAACAAGAAAGGAAATACTTATGTTCCATGTGAATGCTCACCAGATGGCACTCATTGCTAGAAACCCAGGTGATGAAGGTCAGCCCTTTCCCTCACTACCCTAGTGCTAGACCAATGAGCTCGTGAACACAGTTGCCATGGTAGCACAGCAAATGGCTCTCACCACAATATCTATCTGAATTTACCTATCATGCCTCCAGGAATACCATCACCATCCAGGGATTTACTGAAATACCTTATCATGGGGTCTCAGGGAATATTACCTCCAAACAAATAATATGTTTCATGCTTACGTAAATTTAATGTTATGGAAAAAGAAAAGAACTAATTTGACAGAAAAAAGTATAGTAATGGGATCACATACCTCATCACCCAGAAGCAGGTGGTATTATAGATTACAAAACAGTATAATGCCTAGCACAGATCCAGCTATGGTACTGAGGCTGGAGGGCTGTCTTGTGAGATGTAGTAATTTTTTTTTTTTTTTTGAGACGGAGTTTCACTCTTGTCACCCAGGCTGGTGTGCAATGGTGCTCACTGCAACCTCTGCCTCCTGGGTTCAAGCAATTCTCCTGCCTCAGCCTTCCAAGCAGCGGGGATTACAGGTGCGTGCCATCACGCCTGGCTAATTTTTGTCTTTTTAGTAGAGATGGGATTGCGCCATGTTAGCCAGGCTGGTCTTGAACTCCTGCCTTCAGGTGATCTGCCCGCCTTGGCCTCCCAAAGTGCTGGGATTACAGGTATGAGCTACTGTGCCTGGCAGGATGTGGTAAATCTTATCAATCAATAATGAACATTAAATGGTGCTATTTTTCCAATAGCCCCCCAAAAAGGTCCAAGCTATTCTGTTAACTCTTGCTTGGTAAATGGTCTCCCACTTCAACTCTTGCCTCTCCCTTTTATCTATTCTCTATATTGTACTCAGTGATTTTCTCAAAATGCAAATCTGACATCACCCACCACTCCCCTTAAGCCCTTCTATTGTGGAGCAGATATGAATAGTGACTTGTTGACCCAATAACCATTCCTCCTTTACCAGACCTCCTATTCTGTGAGGTTATCCATCCATATCCCACATGAGTATCTAAAAAAATATTTTTTTTTGAGACAGGGTCTGGCTCTGTTGTCCAGGCTGGGGTGCAGTGGAGTGAATCTGACTAACTGCAACCTCCACCCCCTGGGCTCAAGAGATACTCCCACCTCATCTCCCATGTAGCTAAGACTGTAGGCATGTGCCACTATGCTCAGCTAATTTTTGTATTTTTGTTGTTGTCATTGTTGTAGAGATGGGGTTTCACCGTGTTGCCCAGGCTGGTTTCGAACTCCTGTGCTCAAGGCAATCTGCCTGCCTCAGTCTCTCAAAGTGTTGGGATTATAGATGTGAGCCAGCGTGCCTGGCCTCGACCCAGGAATAATCTAGACTAGTCTCAGTCAGCCACAGTAATCTTATTTTCTCCCTTGCTCATGACAGGTTTAAGAAGGAACATGTGACAAGAGAAGTCTCCAGAAGCTTTTGGGAAAATTTTTCCCACTGATAAAAAAAGAGTCAGCCTATAAGGCAAAGCTGACACACGGCTTAGTGGAAAGGTATGAAGGAAACTGACGGTTTAGCAATGCCCCAGCTGATGTATTTACCAACTCTGGAACTGCTCCTCTGTGTCCTTAAATCCATCTCCCACTTCCTAGTCATGACCACTTTAGGTCAATCTATTAGCATTTCTGATATTAACACCTGTAACCCCTAACTGTATTCCCCGCAACTATTCTGGTCTGCCCATGGGCTATTCTCCTTACAGAAGCCAGAGTCAATTTTTTTTTTTTTTTTTTTTTTTTTTGAGACAAAGTCTCACTCTGTCGCCCAGACTGGAGTATAGTGGCACGATCTCAGCTCACTGCAAGCTTCGCCTCCCGAGTTCACACCATTCTCCTGCCTCAGCCTCCTGAGTAGCTAGGACTACAGGCGCCCGCCACCACACGCCCGGTTAATTTTTTGTATTTTTAGTAGAAATGGGGTTTCACCGTGTTAGCCAGGATGGTCTCGATCTCCTGACCTTGTGATTCGCCCGCCTTGGCCTCCCAAAGTGCTAAGGATTACAGATGTGAGCCACTGTGCCCGGCTGAGTCACTTTTTCAAGATGTAAATCTGGCTGCTCTATGGCTTGCCACTTCTCTCATGACTATCTGCAAGGTCTGTGGTCTGGCCAGCCATCTTTCACAGTTTCACCTCTTATCCTCCTTTGAAGCTCGGCTCTTCAGCCGCACACAGCCCTGTTGTGTTCTGGATGTGCCCTCCCTAAACACACTCACTCCTGACAATTTGCTCCTGCTATTTCCAGTGCCCAGAAGGTTCCCCACTGCCCTTTCCCCGCCACCCTTGCCTATGATTAGGTATCAATTAAAATACCATTTATTCGAGGAAGCTCTTCTTTTGTTTTTTTGAGACGGAGTCTTGCTGTGTCGCCAGGCCAGAGTGCAGTGGTGCGACCTTGGCTCACTGCAACTTCCGCCTCCCGGGTTCAAGCGATTCTCCTGCCTCAGCCTCCTGAGTAGCTGGGACTACAGGTGCATGCCACCATGCCCAGCTAATTTTTGTATTTTTAGTAGAGACAGGGTTTCACCAAGTTGATCAGGCTGGTCTTGAACTTCTGACCTCAGCCTCCCAAAGTGCAGGGATTACAGGCGTGAGCCACCGGGCCGGTCTCATAAACTAGGTATTATGTGA